CGGTCACTGCTTCTCGAAAACGTTCAGGAGACATCTCAAGAACCGGCTCCTTGAAACGCCTGTTAGTGGTTAAAAAGCATACACAAATTACATTGTACTAGGTGCAAAAGTGCACTCCTTACGCGGCTATGATTGTAACGTGTTCACGTTGACAAGCACGTTTCAGATCGCTTCTTGCCGTAGCCAGATGACGACGAAGAGGGCCATTTGTTGAATCTACTTTGTTAAGATACTTAAAACACCATGTTTTATTTTTGTAGACGCCTTCCCATGTCATACATTAGCGCTACACAAACGCCATAAAATATTAGGATTGTGTACTTTTTGTTGACTAAAACAGGAACTGTTCCCTCCTTTGCCGAATTGCCGACCAAACACACACGTCGTCGCATACGTGACGACGCTCCGAGCAACGTCCCGTTCAGAAGAAATTGTATATCGCTTCTTTTATTTTTAAATTAGTGCTAACTTTAACAAGATGGATAGCCAACTAGGCCACCAGATGATTTTAATATATATAGCTTATGCCGGTTATGTCAACCTACCGTTCACCCTACACTCGTTTTCACCTAAAACAAAAAGTCCGGCTCCTTGTGGAGCATTACTAATTTCCCCTTTTATGTGGTTATTAAAGATATATGTAGGGAAATTTTAGATGAGATATATCTTATCTTGTCAAGATGTACGCGTTCCAAACGACAAAAGCATCCCTGTTTCTTCTGGCAACCAAATCTCGTAAGAACTACTTTGCACCGCGTATGAATAATGCGCAAAAGCTTCATTTTTTTTTTCTTGAGGTGAAAATGGATGTAGTGATGTCGCAAACAAATTTTGACGAACCTGAGGTTTACCTAGGTCGACGAACCCTTCGAACTTTTGAGGAAAATTCGACAAAGTTCGACTAAATAACCAGCGTTGCCCGATCTTTACTTAAACAGTTCAAATTTAAGGAGTAATTGATATCGTGGCTTGTTATACACTTTAGTGAATAATCACCAATGCTTGCACGATATAGCGATAAAGAAGCAACTTTTGAATATTCATTTAGCTTCAAATAGAGACAATATACACGATAATTACTGCGCTTTTCCTCCGCTAGGCGACGTCAGTTCCTGTTCAATTTCCGCGCATGCGCATATAGGCCATATGCAAAATCCTTGCCAGCTATCATCATCAGGCCATTAGGAGCCGCCATATTGGGGGGTTTATCACATCTTCCTGTTGTGGACGAGGCGCATCTGCATTTAACTCAGTTTTCATGATATTAGGGCAATTTATTTGAACACTCAACGGGTTGCTGGTTAGTTTCGGTTCAAAAAAGAAAAGAAAGACGGCCGCAAAATTCTGGAAAAGGAATTGTCAGCAACGAGGTCGCAAGACTCGTCATTCAAGCAGTGAACCAGGTCAATGAACGGTATTTATCGAAGACGCCCTGTGAAAGGTTCGTACTGGACTTGCAGCAGGTGAACATATTTCAGTTCTACGACTTCCACGTTGCCGGGCGGCGGGACTGTTGTTTCTCGGGCGAAACCGTCGGTACGGGAACTCCCCAATATGGAGGAAATCTGATAATTGATTAGGAATACACTAGATGGCGCTTCTTTTCGCATATGGTATATTGTGTCACCTCAATCGAACGTCTGTCGAACTTGGCGTTAACTAAGGAAAACGCTAAGGACGAACGAGTTTCCACGACCGCCTGCGTTCAATCTGCCAACTTCTGGGGTTCGTAGATATATAAATGCCTTCAATAGTAAAAAGAAAGACAACTGACGAGGCGGAAGCCCGGCATACAGAATGCGAGAGGGATCTTCTAAACGCGTGCCACGGACCTTTTCCGCCGAGTCTATGATAATATATTCCACCGGTAACGCACTGTTCAAATTGGAAGCTCTTCCAAGTCACGTCCGGTTTCGACGCAAAGGGGAAGAAAAAAACAAAAACAAAAAAAAAACACGTAGTCGTCACGCTTCCATCGGGAGTGCAGCCAAGCCACGGTAAATACATTACTTCAGAAGTAATTACAATAACCAAAATAATAATAAGATAATAATAAAAAAAAATCTCGCACATTACTAAGAAGTATGGTGCCTGGAACGCCTCTCTGACTGGTATGTTTACCGCAACATGAAAACTGGACCTGGTCCCTCCAATTGAGCCTGACGACGTTGTCGAAGTGTCGTGTTGTTGCTTGCAGCGATCCTGCCGGTGGCACAGCGATGGAGGTGAATATGGCAGGCGCCTTCTGTTCTGCAGTAGGTCGCTCTTCAGTTCGACAGTCCCCGGAAGGTGAATATGGCAGTCGCGAGTTGGTACGCGGCGACGACCGGGACCCCTCGCGTCCGTTCGTACATTTTTGCCGGAACTTTTACCACCAACCGCCAGGATCGCGACATCCGATAACGTGACAACCAGGCTTCTGTGACGTCATTCGCTGCAACTTCGGGACCACTTTCTACGGATCCAAGGATTGTGGCCGTGGCGCACCTCAGGGTTGCCAGAAATCAGCACGAGATGGTGCTACTTGCTAGAAATAAACATCCCCGCTCGGTCGGTATAATCGCCCCTATAGATTGCTGCGGTGGAAGAGACCACGAAACGCTTTCTCTCGATTTTATTTAAATACTGCTTAGTCATACCCACTGACGTTCATAGAAATGTGACATGCTCCAGCGCATGCGCAGACTGCGTTCCACAGCCCAGTAGACAAAGATGACAGCGCGCAGAAGGTAATCGCTATTATAATGGTTTAGAGTACAGGCCATTCTAACGCGCGGCTTTTGACATCACTTGTTATTACGTGCAAGTTCGTTTGCTACTGCACACCTCACGTATACGTTTGTTTACCCGCCATAGGCGCTCACCTGCGCTGGTTTCCCCACCCGATCACGACCAATGCAGGAGCGCGCTTAACTGCCTAGTCATGGCGCGTACTCGTACGCGTATGTTACCGTTTGATTAGCATGTCCCTCATTGAGTCCCGATACGCCAAATGTGAATTTTTCCACGACGCTTCCTCGCCGTGGACCATCATCCGAGGACCCCCTCCACCACTTCACCGCGCCCTTCCCGCTTTGCTCACTCGGCTTCCCCTGCAGCTTCGTTATCGGCCCTTAGGCCGCTTTTGCGAATCTCGGCAGTCTCGTGCTCGAGAACCTCTCGTCGAGTGTTTGTGCTCGACACTGTACCGCCGTGGGGTCAGGTTCTCCGCGTGCGTGTCGTGACCCCAGCAAACGCGCCGCCACTCAGCGCCTCGGGGCGTCCGTCAACGGGAATCGCCGCTATCGTCTAACGCGTAAACAGTCTTGACTAAACGTTGTCGAGTCCCCGTTATCCTTGTCAGACTCAAAGAGGGCCCGCGGTTGTCGGACGCTCATGTGATCTGTAGAGGGACTCTGTCACGGGCGTCACCAGACCTGTGGTACGCAGGATCCGCGGAGCCAGGCACCTGGCTAGTGCGATCAAAACTTCCTATTCTATATTCCCTTTTTCCCTCTCACTTCCCTTTCTCTATCAACCAACACTTCCTAACGCCAAATACACCAGTGAGGGCTCTGCCCCCCTTTGCTTCCAAGGGTCGTTAATTTCGGTGTTGTGCCGCCATTCGCTTCCAAGGGCAGCACGAGTCACGAGCTTTTCCATTTCTATAGGGAGTATTCACTGGCGGCCATATCCGTGTGCGCTGCTGCTGAGCGCGTGCTGACGGCGAGCTTCCGCAGTCCTTTTTGGAGCGTGCATTTAGCACCATCAAGGTTGCCGGTCTTAGCAGGCTATTAATGCGAGCTCGTTCTGAGCATGCGCTCTAAACATCGCCCTCAAATATGGCGTCCAGTGAATAGCTCCTATAGCGTGAGCGCTCGTTCTGCCGAAGAACGTTTCAAAGCAGCGATCTCGAGCTCTCGATGAATCTCGCATTGGCTGCAGTCTCACGAACACGCGGAGGGACTTGGGGGAATCGCTGGCCCACGTTGATCGGTCTTGTGCGCGAATATTATGAAGGGTCTTTACGGAGCACGTGGAGCGAAATTATACAGACCCCATGGGGACCCTTCAATTCCTCACCCCTGCCCGTTTCGATCTGGATGAGTACATCGCATACCGACGTGCTGTCGTGTATCACTAGTGCGTGATGCGTGCTAACGACCCCAGCAGGCTAGCAGTGGTACTGCCTTAGCTAAATTTCTCGCCTAGAGGAGACACCGGGAGCCCACCGGGGTTGACCAACTTTACGCAGACTAACAAACGCACAACACAATATAATTTTTTTTTTTTTTTAGAACGGGCGGACACGACACTTCGGGTCGATTGCGAGTACAATTACTCTTGGTTCAAAATGTATTAATTTAGATCACTTGATTTCTCGTGATGAAGAGTAATTGGACGGTACTTAATAAATTAAACCGTTACTTTTCCGATTACCTCCGATTTTTAAAACCAAAGATTTTTTTTTCTACCGGCTTGAAAATGTTTTCTCTTTCTTTTCGTATATTTCATTTCTTGAATTAGAATCAGCAAACTATAAAATAATTATGTTTTTCATCCACCAATTTCGGTAAATCAACTTCCGGTTCGGAGACAACGGTTCGAGGACTCCTTGGTAGGAAACTTGCACAAAGGGCGCTTTAAAGAGGTGAGGTGAAAATAGTAAGGGTTACAAGTAATTTCAATACATGCAAAGGTAATCAAATTACCCTCGTGATTCCTTCTTAATAAACGTAATCAAATGATTGCAAATGTACTCCGAAAGGTAATCGCTTACAAGTAATTTGATTGCTTGTAATGATAACCGTACAAGTCTGCATATACACCAACACGCGGCAGTGACGTCAGAGCGCTGCAGTGGCTCTATTGTCACTAGTACGCGTGCGCAGAACGTTCCTTTCACGTAAATCTGGTTTTTGCGCACGTGCACTGCCCACACCTGTTTGTAGGCAAACGCTGACTTGTTTGTAAACACTGTGCCGGTCTATATAGCGGCGTTTGGGAAAGGAACTACTGACCTGACGTAGTCTCGCTTGCAGTAGGTCTTGCCGTCTCGCACAAAGCAGGTGCACGTCTCGTCGAGGAACTGCTGGCAGTCGGCGCACTTGAGGCAGGCGGCGTGCCACTCCAGGTCCGGGGCCACGCGGAGGATGTACTGGTCCCGGATCGGGGCACCGCAGCCCACGCAGACGCGCCGAGACAGCGAGCTCCCGCGGCAGTGCGTCACGCCGTGCTTGTCCGACGACGCCGAGCCGCACACTGCGAGGACAACGTCGGGACATCAAGATCCAGGAGGACACGTCGTTGGGGAGGAAGAGGGGTGACGCCACGCAACATCCTACAACTCTTTTCAACTTAAGTTCAGACCCGCACCGTCATGACGCTCGCCATGTTTCTCTATCTGTTCTATGATCGCTGAAGCAATCTTCAAAACAGAAAAAAGCCTAGTGACGTGCGCTTGTGATGCTGCTTGATTGACCCGATTACCTCGTAGCGTCGGCTGAGTGTGGTCTTAAAACGAAGTATATAACAGAGCACACCTATTGAAGATGCAACATAGCATTTAAAATGACAATAACCTGGCCTGCTATGGTAATGATGAAGCGATAAAAACCAAATACAAGAGTAATAAAGAACCGGAGGTCGGTTATGGCGGCGCCCACGCAAAGCTGCAACAAGGCAGCTTTGCGTGGCTATTACTATTAGCGGCGGGTTACTATTAGCGGCGAGATGTTTTGGTGGCGCCCTCCCGTGGTTCCTTCGTGACGTCATTACCCTGCGAACAACAAGTTCGATGGCGTTTGTAATTAGCATGGCGGAATCTTGTAATCATTACGCTCTGAAAGAAGCACTGCCAACACCGTCAAAATGGAAGATATTACATAACTCTTATTTCCGTCGATGGGAAATCCTTTGGTGACGTCACAGTCAGCATTCGGCCAATCGCGGTAGGCCGAACACAGCGACGCTTTCGATCGCTCACGTCGCCAATAGACCATTGCAAGCTTATGGAGCCCCGACTGGCGCCATGCGTGCAAGCTCATGTAGCGTGCGCGTGAACATATATAGCTTTGACAAGCTTGCAATTGCACGGGCTTTCCAGCACGAGCAGATACATGGCGGCGGCAGCCCCGCGCAATGGAATCAAGGTGGGCATGCAACTCCTGCTCTCCTTTCACTGAACAACTTACCGTTTATTTAATATGCAGTCATTTCCACCACTCATCATCCGAGCAGCAAAATGACAAGTAATGTTCGCAGACGCATGCGTGGCCTCTGCCATCTTGCCTTTCGATCCTCCTACCGGTAGTAAATCACTCGCGGTTCGGAACTTTCGAACGTACACCGATAGCGCAAGTTCGTCTGCTTCTTGCATAAGGGATTGCGATGATGTCAGAACACCATTTTTTTTAGCTGATTGCTAAAAAAAAAAAAGGTAAATCTTGAGGCAATTGGGTAGTGTGTATGTTTATACAGCCTAGAACTTGGTCTGCTTCCAACGGCGACAAGTCTCCCAGCTGTAGATGAAAAATTTAGCCAGTACAGTACAACCGCTAACCTGAGGTTTTTAACGTGCATCACGCAGTAGTGATACACGACCGCACGCCGGTACGATGCTCGTCCAGATCGAAACGGGCAGGGGTGGGGATTGAACCCAGGATCCCTGGGTTCTGCAGCGCGAGCTTTCGCTCCACGTGCTCCGAGCTGGTGTGCGCTAGCCCACTCGGCCACCGATCCTTTTTTTTTTTTTCTTTATTGCCGGATTTTTTACATTGTCAAATAGGCAGGCATATCGCTCAAACCACAGGAAGCAGGGCAAGGCTAAACTAAACCAGCCCGATGTGACTGGCGTCGGAGGCGAAAATTGTTTCATGGACAAAAGTGCCTCAATGCGCGGAAGCCACTCACCCTACTATTCTTTCAATCGAAGCCAATCACAGCTCGCGGCGTCTTTCTAACGTCACCGCAGCACTCGCACAAGGAGCAGACGACTTTCTCTCCGCATACGTTTTACATACGTCCTCCATGTCGTCAACATGCCCGAGTCGTTACTCACAAGTGCTTGATTACAAATGCAATTACTCTCGGTTAGAAAAGTATTCAATGTAGATTACATCATTACTTGACAGGAAAATCAAATTAAAGTTGCAACCGTTACTTTCCCCGTTACTTCAGATTTTTCAAAACGAGATGTTTTTTTTTTCTTCTGCCTGTTTAAAAACTAGCTTTTAGCACTGTTCGATACTGAATTAGAATCACGGAGTTACAAACTATTCATCTTCTCAATACAGCCGTTTTGGTAGACTAGGATCGAAGAGTCCTCGGCACGAAACTAGTTCAAACAGTGGGCGTCGTTAGGTTAGGTTAGGTCAGAAGCAGTTTGAGTACTTGTGACTCAAAGTGCTTCTGACCTAAACTCTTGTGATTGCTCCCTGATGAAGGTAATCCAATGATTACAAAATTACTCCACAAAGTTATCGATTAAAATTTTATTACTTGGTATGAGTACCGAACAAGTCTGACATCAACCAATCAAGAAGTTCGATTTCCATAGGTTGTCCAGTTTATGCGGACACAGTTTATGTCGTCATATCGAAATCTAACATAGTTAAAAGGGACGACAAAAAAAAAAGAAGTAAAGCATTTACAGAGTTTATTTAAAGATGATGATACTGGAGAAGTATCAAGCCTGTGACCTTCACGTCGTCTGTGTTGGATGGTGCGAACTAAACCCTGAGGGCACTTGTGCCCTGTGCCCAGAAGCACACAACAACAAAAGGACGGTGAACCCCGCCGCAGGCAACGGTCTGCGCCTGTGACAGGGCTGCACACAATTTGTAAGACGAACTGCCTACGCAACCGAAAACGGAATCCCGGACGTGGTCCGAAGCCATGTCTCGTGGTCGTTTTTCTGTGTATTCATATCGCACCGGCATGCGATCGTTTAGGGTGTTACGATATCTCCCATGTTGGAGACGAGACTCGTGGAAGTCTCAAAATGGCGGCCGACGTTCCGCAGTCACTGTCCGAAGACTGTCTTATTATGATGTATGATGAGCAGTGTGACCTCAGCTTTAATTGGTTCACCAGCGGTCCTCACTCACTAACCAGACGGAGACTGTGACGAACGTGTCGGAGGAAGGCGACCACTCTCTTGAACCCTATACTCGATCCCCTTTCGCTTCTCCTCTTCTGCCCGGCACTAAATACGAGAGCCAGTCGACAACGTAGCAGCGGCGGCGCTAACTTCGACATCCGAGGAGCAAGCCCAGATAAGAGACGCGCGGAGTGCCCCCAACCGAGACGCATACACCATAAGTCACGAACCGCCACCCGAAAACCGGACTAGACGGTTTCCCCAGGTAGAGGAATGCCGAAACGACGCAGGCTGCCCTAGCAAAGCTCACGGAAACGATATCATTTTTTTTCGTTTATTTTATGGCATATTTACTTTCTCTCTCTCTCTCTCTCTCTAAAAAGTGCTAGGGAATTCTTGTTAGCTTTTTTTCTTTGCTTCTGTTTTCTTGTCGAACGATACCATACTCCGTTTCATTAAATGACTGGACCGCATCGGACGCGTTCCTAAATATACGCTCCACTGCCCAATTTCTTTGTAGGCGCCGCCATCTTGGTGCACCCGGGTGCACACCGGGCGCTATCGGTGATTGTTGGGGTTCGAAAATGCGATTTTCCAAGCTCGGTGTCAGAAAGCTGAGACGATACACACTTGTTCTGTCGCAGACAGTTTTAACGAGGAATGCGGCGAACCTGCGGAGGTCTGGAGTTCCGACTAAGTTCGACTTTCACGAAACTTCCAACGCGAACTTCGACAAAGGTTTCGACTAAAGCTCAACTTTAGCACGCATGCGCGAAAATTTTGAAAACGAGCTCACACCACTCGGCGCAGGAAACGTGCAATATTTGTTGGATTTATTGCTTGACTCGTTTTCGTTAGAAACTAAGGAAAGCATTAAAAGTACCTAATTTTGCATTTAAAACGCGTAAACATTGATAATCATTTTATAAGATATAAAATAAACTACTTTCTTTTTTTTCCCCAATATATAAAATCTCTATGTAAGAGCCGGGCAACACTGTCCATAAGTCGAACTGCGTCGGACGTTGCAAAAAAAGGTCGAATGTTAACCGAACCTGAAGTTCGTCAAAAGTTCGCGACATCCCCAGTTTTAACATTTCGAGAGGAGCAAACCGTCTCCTGCGGTTTCAGATCAAAGCCTCGGGTAACCGGAAAACAATGGTTTCAGGCATATTTGGTAGCTCCATACGCAACCGAGCCATCTCAGCTCTCGGCCAATCCAGCGCCGGGAAGCAATCACGTGATGTGACTTTGGGTTGGCCTCGATGGCCCGTAGCTCCCTCTACGCTCCATCGCAAGACGAAACGGAGTATAAACAGAGAGATGCCAAAGATGCAAATCGGCATCCGATTCCTGTTCGATATCCTTCAGGACGGGAGGAATGGGGGTGGGGGGGGGGGGGGGGGGGGGCGGGGGGGGGGGGGTGATCTATTTGGAACTGGATTTAGAAGCGGCAACCCGTCGACAACCGGCGACACCGATGCGGCGAGACAAGTGTGCGCGGTTAAGATGGCAAACTCGTTTTTCTTTCTGTGTGCGTGTGTGCGCAGATAAAAGGGGTGAGGCACGCCTGACCGATTAGGGCGAGGCGAATTAGCGTATCCCAGTGATGTCGAATGCAAATCAATGCTTTTTTTTTGTGTTTTGTTTTCTAGTTTTACGACTTTCCTTTCGTCCGACGCTGTATCTTCTAACACAGTTCCTTTTTTTTTTTTGCTTCGTCACGTACCTCCGATATACACTAACATTTAGGAGCAATACCTTCATTTTCTACACCTAGTTAATATACAGTCATGCCTCCTTAATATGGACCCCATTAAACGAGTGCCCCGCTATATCGACACCATCTTCAGGTACAAACCGTGAAACTACATGCAGTTTAGTCTCGTTATTATGGACAACTCACTTTAGGAACGATTTTTTGGGAGGAACAGAGGCATCCATATTAACGAGTCATCACTCCATTTTCTAACAAAACATCGCTTCGTCAGAAAAAAAAAAAAAACTATGTGCTCATCTTTTTTAGTCGTTAGCAGGAACTTTATCTTTTGCGTGGCTACGATGAACATCGGCCGGTTTTGGCTTTGCCTTAATTATTTCCCAGCCCCTGACGAACGTCGGCTGGAATAGGCATAACTAACACCAGCCCATATGGCTCTGG